CACACACACACACACACACACACACACTGCACTCTACAACCCTAGCATCATCCACCCACATTCCTCTCCTCACTCATGTGCTCTGCATTCATAACAGCAGGGCTCCAAAAATATTTTAGTTTTTCTTAAACCTATTTCACTTCATCTGAAAATCAGGTATTTGACTATAACATGTGGTTTATAGAAGCAGATTATTTATATTTCCAAATTACACTGCTAATATAAAAACATCCATATTATTGAACAAACATACAAACCTAAGCTCAAGTTTAAAAAACAATTACTTCAGCCATCTACGTTTTGTAAACCTTACATTTATTCACTAAAGAGTGAACTTTGCAACTAATGATTTAAATACAAATTCCACTTCTACACTTAATCTGTTCTACCAGTAATAAAATCAGCCAAAACAAGTTGATTAAAAAAAACATAATTTATTTAGATTTATAGGGTCACTATAATCTCTCCAGCTTACATATTTTCAGAAAAATTAAATACTGTGATTTCCAAGTTTTGCTTATTATCCAGAAAGTACAAATATTTAGCATTTTGTTTTAAACTAACCTCAGAATATCATTGCAATTATGTAATTTATTCACTCTTTAGTGAATAAATGTAAGGTTAGCTCTTCAGGTGAAAATAAAAAGTGAATAATTGAGGTTTCATATTTAATGACAATAAGTTTCAAGTAAAATAGAAGACAGAGAATTTTTAAATCTGATGTTACAGAAGTTAAGAGTGCAAAAGCAGTGTTTTATGTTATGTGGCATGTTTCAATAAACCGTTGTAAAGGTGTTTACTTGTGCTGAACAGCGCCATCTAGTGTTAAAACTTTCAAATAATTTCCAATTGCTTAATGTAAAGAAAAATAAATGTAAAAAAAGTTTGACTTTCAAATAAAGGGTTCATGTCTAAGTGACAAATACACCAAACTATAAAGTAGCTGGTTAATATTTAAGAAATTTATAAAATATATAGTGAAAATCTTGAACAGTTTTAATACAAAGAATGATCAAGTCCAAATAGTTTTACAGTATAAATCCTTGCAGAGGAAAATTACCCGCTATAAAAAACAATTCTACATTAAATTAAAAGACTAATAATTTCACAGGTTTGCCACCTAACATATTGTTTACTTTCACAGCTGAAGTTCTGACCTCAAAGCAACCTTACCACCCTTATCTAACCCCCCCCACCCCACCCAGAGGGCCAGATTCTCCTGATATTGTAAATGTATGACCAAGGTCGCGACCCTTTTGACTAGCCAATTCCCAGAAACATCCTTTTGCTCATAAATTATAAACAGGAGGGCAAGTGGAACAGTCACCCTTGTGCCAACACAAAGCATCATTTCATATTCAGAGTGAACTTACAGATCGTTTAAATTATAAACTAAAATAAATTATCTTATCGGTTGACATAAATTAGGTCTACACTCTGAATAAATTGTGTTTTGGTCCGTTTGGTGGGGTACTGACGGAACAAATTCTAATCAGTTTCACGCTGTGCGAGATATCACAAGAGGAATGTGGGGAATTTTAATTAGTAGCTAAGATACAAAGCGTTGACGCAGAGTCCCTGTACTTAGAGGGTACAGCCACCTTTAGGCAGCAGTAATAAACTCTTTGGAACTTTTTGCACAAATTGCCAAAAATAAAAAGGCAGATTCCCTTTTAATGTGTGTTTATTGAAAATAAAGATGGACAGAGAGACTGCAGAAGTGTTACGTTTACAATAAGATGTACAATAAAAAAAAGAAAAGAAAAAAAAGAAAAACACACCAATGCTTAAGAAACAAAGCAACGAATGTAGTTGACTGATGACTTTTATTTGTGATGAAAAAAAAAGAAGTTGTTGATAGGCGACACAACAGAACGACAGCTGTTTCAAATATTTGATTTCTTCTGGGAGAGGTTGATCTTGTCACCCAGACTCAGAGCCATTCCCTGTAAAAGGAAGAATGATTTATTACATGTGCTTCATATTACTTAATAGATATTAAACAATGACATCATCAGGTGCTATGTCCAAACTTATAGGTTACATCATATTTTCCCTTTTCCCTGAGCAAAGCCATTTTCTCTGAGTTATTAGATTCACTCAGCAAACAGACGAACGCTCTTCACAGTTTACAGTTAGGGCAAATAAATTCAGACCAGCCTTTAGTCTGCTGATTAATAAGGACTCACAGAGCAGCAGCTGTGACCCACCTGACTTTTGGCTCTAATGCGTATGTGGCCACTGACAGGTGCCTCGGGCCCCAGGTGGATAGGCTTCTCGATGCTGACATTAGCCAGGGCGTCTTCTCCGAAGATAGAACGAGCATAAAGGTTGGCAGCCATGAAGCCGCAGAAGCCAGAGAGTGCCTGGATTTTAAGACATAAAGGAAGAGACTTTGTTACAATACGGTTCAAAACAAATGAACAAAATTAACAGGAGATAAATAACTTTTCTAAATGCAGCAGTTAGAAAAAAATAAATAAATGAAAAATAATCACACTAACCTTTTCTGGAGTCAAACACTTCATGTTGGTAGATTTGAGAATGTGCTGGAGGTATTCATTCAGATCAATGATGTTGGTGTTCACCGTCACCTAAAAACAAACAAAAACAAAAAAATCAAGCCTTTTCTGAATATTTCTAGTTAATTTTCTAATTATGTGTCAATTTCATTCTTTTAAAACAGTGGTTCTCTAACTGTGGGGCGCAACCCCTAAGTTTTTTTTTTTTTAAACACACACACACAGGAATATCACCTCAATAATGACAGTAAGTCACTTTTTTAATATCTTCAGCAGAAACATTTTAAAAGTAATCAGTTAAAAATACTGGAGACCCAAAATAATCTGATAAATTACCATAAATCCTTACAAATCAAACATAAGCTTGATTGTGTTTATTTACAGACTGAACTGTACGTTAAAAAAGATAATACAATAAAAATAGACTCATTGGGCCTCATGCAAGAACCGTTCGTACGCACAGATTTGTTCTTAAGTTGTGCGTACGAGTGATTTAGGACAATTTGTGGCATTCACCAATTTTTTTCGTATTATAAGATTTTCTTCAGATACGAACAAAAATTCACGTGCAGTCCAGACCTGTCGTATATTTTACGAGCAGTCAGTCCGCTGTTATCCAGACGGGTTTTCTTCACTAAGAACTTTATATTTCGTTATTTAGAAAATATTTCGAGTTGAAAATAAATCACATGTTGACAATAGTTTATTCTGTTTGAACTGGAATTAGATTTTAACGACATAAATTGATTAGATTAAGTTAAACTGTCTTTTAATGCTGTTGTATAACACTACAATGTTAATATGAAGATCTCAAACTAAAAAACAACTTAAATTATGRATTAATTGAAGTTTGGAGACGTTTTAAAATGCGTCTTTTCAGAACCGCATCTGACACTTGCTACAGCCGGGAGGGGGGAGACGGCTAGGTCGGGGGGGGGGAGCGGTGCGCAACCACCCTTCTTCTGAATAAATGTAAACACAGTAACACAGTTGTTTACACTTAAATTAAAAATATTTAGTTTACTAGAGAGAGATGAATATGATTTAGATTTTTATTTCTGTGACTGTAACGACCCACAGGAGACACGACATTAACAGCACATTTCATGTCTTTAAGCAGCTCCTTTAATTCCACATGACGCTGCTAAAGAGAACAGTTTTTCTTTTCTCGATCTCGGAGAGCAGGACTTAAATCTCCGAACTCGTAAAGTTCTTCTTTTTTACTTTGCGATGTCATTTACGAATGGACACTTCCTGGTATGTGAGGCAGGAAACGTATATCCTTATATGGTGTTTTTGGGGTGGTAATTATGCTAATCTCCTCTCGCGTGCACGAGCAGCTGGATACGAACAGGTGGAATTTACGCAGCTCATTTACACACTTTTCCTGAAGATAGATGAGTTTGTTGAATCTGACGTGACATGTTCGTAAGAACCCTTCATACGAACAAAAGTAAGAGAAATTTAGGATAAGAATACGAACATGTTCTTGCATGAGGCCCAGTGTTACGATGGAGTATTAGGGCCACATAAGATGATTATTTTTTCATTACGAGAACAAAGCCATTATATTACAACATTAAGGTTATAATATTACAAGAATAAAATCATAATATTACAAGATTAAAATCAAAATATTGAGATATGAGTCCATTAATTTATATATTATATAGTGTATTCTCATAACGACTTTAGTTTCATACAATTTTAATCTCATAATAATGACTTTATTCTCGTAATAAAAAAAACCTCATTGTGTAGCCCTAGTGCTCTGTCATACATTGTTACATTACAATCTTAATTTCCCAACTTTGTATTTTATTAAATGAAGCTGAACAAATCTTACCAAGTTTTTAGAAAGCTAAAACTTACCTTGTTTTCCCACTCAAACTCCGCCCACATCTGTCTGAACTCTGCGTCTGTGCAGGAGGCTGGCTGGATGTAGTCCATGATGTCAATGTGGATGTCGCTGAGGACAACACAGTTTCTGTCGCTTGCAGCTCCAGACACATCATAGACTGGGAGGAAGGAATTAAAAAGATTATTTAAAACATAAAAATCTCATCGGAAATGATTTTAATAGACATTAGAAACAAATCTCCTACCAATGTTGCCAAATATTATGCCATTCTCAGTAGAAGCCACCTTGACATTAGCCTTGATGTTTGCAAAGTCATGAGGCGCCAGCGTCAGAGGGGAGGGCTTTTCAACTAACTTCAGATCTCCTGCAGAGAGGAGAAACTCAGTTAAGTGCAAAGAGCACAAATGTTCAGTGAGGTGGAGAAACAAAGAGAACAAACCTAAAGTGGCCAGCTCGAGGGTGCAGTTCTGAAGAGTATCACTTGTCTGGTTGACCACCAGCACATCCAGAACAATGTCGTACTGGTTGACGTGAACGTAGGCTTCAGCGTACACCGGGTCTGAGAATCCTGTCAGCTGGGTCACCTGGGTTTTAACAACACAGTGTTTCATTTCTCATAAATAAAGTAACAAAACATTTTTGTAACAAGACCATAAGCAGCAAAGAATAAAGAAAAGTGACTACATAAGAAATATGTAACAATTTAAAATCATGTCTCCCACATTAGGCTGTCCTGCAGAGTTTACTGTTTACCTTGTTGAGTTTTGATGCGAGAGGGTCAGCAGCTTCCTTCCTCTGAGTGTTCCCCATAGCAGCCAGCAGGCTAAGTTGAAACTGGTCTTCCTTAGAGGCCATCTCATTTTTGGCTGTGAGCTGCATGAAGGAGATGGGGTCGTCTGCTTGCACCGTCACGTTACGTTTCTCCGATTCTTTCTGTGGTTCAAACGAGAAACACACGGGTCCAGTTGGTTTTTTTGCCTCGTCATTAAGAAACATGAAACATTTGGTGGGTTAAAATTTACAATTAATGACTAAAACTTGAAGAAAGCCAACAAGTATAAAGACAAATATGATGACAGTATTAAAAAATGTTTATAAACAAGCGTTGATGTTCATCTGCAGCAAAGTTATAATAGTTTAGGATTTTTCATTATAGTTTAGTTTTATTTCGTTGTGACTTTTTTCTGTTAATTCAGTTTTAAATAGTTTTTAGTGAATTTACTCATTTTTAAAGTTATTACTGCATTTTTATTGCTTAGTTTTTATTAGTCTTTTTAAAGTTTGAATAAACATATTCGCCAATGAATCCTCAAGTTTGTGATGTTCCTGTGAGTTAACTAACCAACAGCTATTTGGTTGCTAGTTAAAGCGTCCATTATAGCAACACCTTCCTAAAATAATTGCATAACTTTATTTTGCCCACTAAGACCTTGGGTGATTATTTCAGGACAATGACAATAGTTGTCTCCAACCCGGGACTACGTGTTGATTGTTTTTCACGTGAGCTACTGAGAGAAGCTAGCGTGTCAAGATAGTCATAGTTGGCCATCTTGTGTGAGTTTGATTCATGCAGTTTTTCCCTTGAGAAGTTTTCCACCTATTTTATCATCTGTTTCCACTACAAGACACTTGCTTTGATTTTTCTTGCAGTCATATTCAAAGACATCAAAGTGGACGTTGTCACTTTCTCCCAACTTTTGTTGTCGTCATTTTGCAGGTGATGCTGAGCAGCAGCAGACTGTAAACAAGTGTTACGACCCACAGCTAATGTGAAACTACTTGATTAAATAAATAAACAAATAAATAAATAACACTAAAACTAAGGATATTCTATCTATAATTTCAGTTAGTTTTCGTTAGTTTTGTAAAAAACGTATACAGTTTTATTTAGTTATCGTTTTTTCCTTTTTATTCCAGTTTTTATTTATTTTAGTTAACGAAAATGTTTATTTTTTCAATTTCAGTTTTCGTTATTTAGTTAGTTTTAGTTAACTATAATAACTCTGCTCTGCAGTGGTAATCGTTCAGAGTTGAGATGGGGACTCTCACTGTGAGGATGCTTCAGCTGTGTTTACGAGGTTAAATACTGACAGTCAGCTGTCATTACCTTTTGAGACAGCTTCTCCTCCTCCAGCCTGACAGTCAGCATGTGCGACAGGGATCTGCGGCACTCCTTGTTGAAAATGTCATTCATAAGGGGCGAACACTCTGACAGGACCTTCAGGCATAACGAAATGCGGTCCACGTCGTCGTCTGTAATTGGCTTCTTGGGCAGGGAGGACTTGCCCAGGTGCAGCACAGTGACCATTATCAGCATGGCTTCAGCGACGAAGGACTACAGAGGCAGAGAGAGAGAGAGCCGAGATCAGAGGAATGAGGATGAATAAGTCTTTTTGTGAAGTGGAAAAAGAAGAACTTACGTTTTGCTTCTTTTTGTCTTGAACAATGGAAACGTAGCGCAGAGCCACTTTAGTTAGTGTGGTGGCCAAAGACGCCGCCACAAAGAAGTCTCCATCCATCAAAAAGCCTCTTAGTGGAGGTCTTGTAAAACAAACAGAAATGATTACAAAGATTGAAGAAAAACATCTAAATAATAAAACTCAGCTACATAAATACAATTCTTACCTGTCCTCATCTTTCTTTGAAGGCCTGGAGGAGCTCAGGGCACTCTGTGTCACATAGGTGCCCATCTCTGTGACTAACTTCTGAGCTGGAGCCGCACTAACTTCATCTTCTGGTTTCAACTCGCCCGTCTCCTTCTTTATCTCGTTCTCAACTATTGGGATCTGTTTAAATCACGGAGAAGGTTTAAGATGRACAAATTCAAAGCAGGAACTGAACGGACCACTTTCGGTCGCATTAAATTCTCCCAGCTGGGAACAAACAAAGCATACCTCTCCCAGAGACCTGCGTACTTCTGTCATCACACTCTGGATGTCTTCTTTGGTGCTGCAGTATTCTCCTAAAATCCAAAGCGCTCCTCTGTAAATCCTGGAACACAGCAAGTGTTACAAAAGTCACAAACACACAAGGCTTGGTCGAGTTATTGTACACATGTGTAATGACAACTACAATGCATCAAACTGTTGTCAAACAAAACAAGCTGAACTGTATAAGACAGGGCTTTTTTACCATCCCCAAAATCCAATTCTTATATGATGTCAATTTTCAAGATGAATTTGCCTCGTGCAAGATGAGAAATAAAAGCAATCATAGCAAAGTTCCAAAATGTGCCACTTCTCATTTTTTTAAAACTTTGCATTATAAATAAAATGTCTGTGTTGATATGAAGCTACCTTTAAACATATATCCAGACATTTCTTTGTTTAAAATGACAGATTTAAGGTATTACTCTGAGACAGGAAGTTTCCTGTGCATTTTTAAATGAAGTGTTTAGACACATTACATAACAGCCCTGCAGATTCAGAGGAGAGCAGTGATTTGTTCTTGAGTCAGCAAACCTTGAAACTTTGTGAATAAAATGCAATATCAATATAACGCCACACTTTCAGCTTTCCCAATGACTTATTTACTGTAGAATATAAGTTATTGTTTGAGCTTTCCACTCCAACACATTTGGCTTGACTCAGCGGTTCAGTTCTATTTAGCTTGCAAAGATTGGTGACCAGCAATTATATAACGGATTAACTATTTTTAATACACTCAAATGAGAAATAAAAAAACTAACAAAAGTTTTCTTACTTGACAGTTTTGATGGCGTGAAACACCTCCAGCATCTTCTCGATGATCAGGGGTCTCAAGTTGTCGAACCTCTGAATGGCCTCTCGCACAAACTCCAGCACGTCAGCAGCAGCTGCTTCATTAGTGTCGCTCAGGAATTCCATCAGCTTTAGAACAACACACACCACAGCCTTAGCAACTGAGAATCTATCAAACTAAATGTAAAACTTAAAAACAATTCAGAGCTTTTTTTTTTTTTTTATTTTCTTTTCTAGTGTTGAAGTCCCAGGAACTCACCACAGGTATGACATTAGCTGCCATGTCAGGGAAGCGGACGCTGCAAGAGTGGAGCGTTCGCACCAAGAGCTGCCTGTATTTATCAGTGTCTTCATGCTCRGTTACATTGTTTGTCTTGATCACCTCTTTCTTCAAAACAATCACCAACTGAAAAACAGACACGTGTTGGTATATTTGCAGCAGAGCCCAGTTTACTCTGTTAGTGCTGGACAATAATTTAAATATAACTTTTTTATAAACTTGATTGATAGCGCTCTGTTTGCACTACGTTAACAATGCTACAGCTGTGACAGAGTGGTTAGGAGAGTCGTCCTGGAACCAGTAGGTTGTCAGTTCAATCCCATGTCCCAACTGTCTCAGTTGTTGTGTCCTTGGGCAAGACACTTCACCCCCAAATCCTCTGATGTGTGTCCCATCAGTGTATGAATGCYAGTCTCCATAGATTGATTTGCACATATTAGCTTTGTAGTGAGATCTAKTAGAGTGCTGTGTGAATGGGTAAATGAGGGCACAGGTTGTAGTATAAAGGGRTTTGAGTATCCTGGTTGGAAAGAAAGGCGCTACACAAGTACAGACCATTTATAATTTACAACACAGTGGTTATCTGCGCCAAAATGACTTCAACATCTGAGTGAGCAGGTGTCCACAGTTGGAAAAAGAAGCAGAAAAAAATAGTAAAAGATAGAAAAGACTACCGTAATACATTGGTGCACAAGTGGTTCTGGTATCAAAYGTCTGATAAATTCCAGTGTTCAGTAGTTTGTAAAATGTGCCGAAGTCTGGTGCTAACTTGCAGCAGGAACTCATCAAATCTGCTCCACTCAACAGAACATTCTGTGTATGAAAATAAAAGCACCCTAAAAGCTTAAGRCCTCTTCCTAAAACATCACCGTCTCCCCGTCAGCAGTTGTGTCGAGCAAAGGGAATTGAAACAGAAACTGCAAAACGTAGATGGATATAGCAGGCCATAGTGACATTTAATTGGCCAGATATCTGAAAGTGATTTATGACTTGAAATAGTTAATAAAGTTACAGTATCTTTAATTATATATACACACTGCCTGGCCAAAAAAAAAAAGAAGAAAAAGATCACCACCAAAAATAAAAAATAAAAAATGTCACTCTCTAATATTTRGTTGGGCCGCCTTTAGCTTTGATAGAGCATCCATTTGCTGTGGCGTTGTTTGGATAAGCTTCTGCAATGTCACAACATTTATTTCCATCCAGTGTMGCATTAATTTTTCACCAAGATCTTGCATTGATGATGGTAGAGTCTGACCYCTRCTCCAGCACATCCCAAAGATTCTCAATGGACTCTGCGGAGCCAATRCATYTGTGAAAARMATGTCTCATGCTCCCTGAACCACTCCTTCACAATAAGAGCCCTTTGAATCCTGGCATTGTCATCTTGGAATACGGCCGTGCCATCAGGGAAGAAACAATCCATTGATGGAATAACCTGGTCATTCAGTTTATTCAGGTCAGATGACCTCATTCTTTGAGCTCAGACTGTTGTTGAACCTAGACCTGACCAACTGCAGCAGCCCCACATCATAGACCTTAGTTAAATCCAGGTGGAAACTTCTTTTTCTGGCCGGGCAGTGTTTTTTGACGAGGCATAATACCTATTTGAGATATCTCTGATTACATTCTGACTAGTGTAAATGTACATTTTTAAAGGTAGCGTGACCCCTTCTGGTTGCCGCATGACCTGTTCACCTGTTCCAACATGATTTTTTTGTCTTGTGTGTCTTCTTGAATGGGTGTTTTTAAATGTAATTTTATTGTGCTCTGTCCAATGACAATAAAAGGCATCATCAATCAATCAATCAATCAATCAATCAATCAATCAATCAATCAATCAATCAGTCAATAAATGAAGACAGATTTACAGTTCAGTTGTATGGAGAGTCCAATTCAAAATACTGTATCTGTAGAAAATTACTGACTACATGAAATATAAATTCAGATAATTAAATTATTAGTCATAAAGAAAATATGAGATATTGTATCTCACTTTTTGTTCTGATTAGTCATAATTTTAATTAAATATATCTTAAATGACATCAGGTTTGTAGTTACAGTAAATATTGGCTTTCTTGGTAGTTTTTCTGGCATTTGTTATCCATATCAATAATGAACTTATATCTCATTGATCAAAATTAGGAGTTTTAGCGTGATTTAAATTGTAGCCGTATGGTCCAGCCCTACTCTGCGTCAGTGCAAGACAAGAAACAAACTATAAAAATGCACTTGGAACTGACCTCCTCTACGTTACGAGATGAGACAAGGTCCAGAGACAGCTGCAAGGTCTTCTTTCTGACCTCCAGGTCAGGAGTGCTGAGGACACGCAGGATGTCCATCACAAGGTCCTGGAAACAAAGTTGTGTTGGTAAAAAAAAAAAAGAAGAAAAAGTTAATGCTCCACATACACAAAAGTTTAACAACAACATATACAGTCAATTTATTGACAGGATTTGTTGTGTTTTAATAATGTAATCTCATATAGAAACTATTGTCCAAAAATTTACATTTTTGTCCTTTTTTTTGTGAAGCTAAAGTTTTTATAATTAAAACAAAAAAAAAGCCATTTAAAACCTACTTGAAGCACACGCTCATGAGTAGGATGCTCCTTCAGTTCAATCAGACGATCAAGAACAATCAGCTTCACGTTGTTGTCGCTCTCCTTAATGATCAAATCAATGTAGCACTGTGCAGCAGCCTGGGGTCCAACAGAGCACAGAATTCATTAAAAAAGGAGGAAGCACTCCAAAGACATTCATGGCTACGATTTGGCAGAATGCTAAACAATTCTAGGACATTCAGTAAAACTGAAGATGTACCTTAATGGCTGTGGGAGCACTGGAGAGGGTCACCAGAGTKCCAGCAGCCTCGTATTTAACGGCGGGGCTCGAAGACTGAAGCAGGTTGTAGATGCAACGGATAAACCGGGCACGCTCAGAAGGGTTAGCGTGGCAAACCTAATGGACAGGAACAACCCAGATATTTAATTTGGTCTGACTGCATCCTGGTTTGTCTCAAAGCCTGGATCAGACCAAAAAAATAAAAATAAAAAAGGTCTCGACTCGCCTTGTAAATCAGCTCCACAATCACCAGCTGCAAGATGTCCCCAAAAGTGTGAACTTGGTCAATACACGTGCTGAGATAATCCAGAGCGCGATCCTAAAGGAAGCAGGAAATCATTTAAGCACAGTTTTTAAGACTGATTTGGAAGATCAGGACCAACACTAAGAGGAGAACAATGTGCTACGAACCTGGTCGGCATGAATCAGCATCATGAAAGCGTTCCTCTTACAGCTGGCATCCTTTTCATTTACAAGGAAATCGTGGATCAGCTCCGGAGCGTCTGGGATGAGGTGTTCGAAATTTCTGGAAGAATTGGATTGGTCACAAATAAGTASAGCTCAGAGCTGAATTTCATCTGTAATGGCGACCTAGAATATTTTTAGATGTCGGTGGTACCTGTAGATGGTATATATGGCCAGGACAGCATTTCGGCGCACATAGCTGTGACGGTGCTCCAGGCAGGCCCGAATAGCTGGCATGAGAGGCTCAAGCAGCTCAGACTCTTTCAGCTTGCACAGGAAACGCAGAGTGGAGCCCCGGATGAACTCGTTGGGGTGCTGCAGGTCCTAATTAAAACAGAAAAAATTCAACTGATTAGTTGTTTTTTTTTTTTTGCTTTATTTTTTAAAGAGAGTGTGTAGTTTCAATCATATTAACATTTTTCCTTTTATTAATTAGGATGAATTTTAAGTCAAAAAACTTGCCAAATCATAACTATTTAAGTAATTTCTTACTGTTTTATTTTCCTGTGTATACACCTCWACTTACCTTTCTGTAAGCATCACAGACCAGGATCATCTCCTGAAGCAGCTTGCCATCTGGAGTTGTTTTAGGAACAATCTCCCAGAAAACAAGCAGCAGCTTCTTGATGGTGTGATCTTGAAGTGGCAGCACAAAGCGAATTATAGTCATCAATAGTCCGGGCAACTTCTCACCATTCAGGATCATAATTATGACTTTCTTCAGGGCTTCAGTCTTTGCTTTGATCTCTCCCTTCTCTGAAAAAAAAAAAAAAAATAGATTAACATTAAGTTAAACAATTTAGTTTTCAAATCTTAACTATACTTTCACATTTAGAWTGTATTGTTCTACCTAAGTCTGTTTTTAGGCTGACTTCAGAAGGGGGCTCCGAGTCAGATGTTACATTGATCAGAGTGTAACAAACGTTTTCTGCAGCTGTCATTTTTGCTGCTGGGGCTCGTATCGATTAAGAGGAATCTTGATGAACGTTGACGTTCCTGTAAAAACAAAACAACACAAGGACAAGTAAATAAATGGCAGTGAAAACGGAGAAACGAAACAGTCTGAGTAAACGAGTATGATCAAAATACAGTGTTGTTGATTTTTTTAACAGTGGCTTTAGTGATCTGGCCAACGATAAGAAAAAATCTAAATAAAATTGTTTCAAGGAATGTAATTTTTCTTCATAATTAGCAATATGTTGTTTACAACTAGACACATAAAAGCAGAAATTAAATTTGCACTCATATCTGGGTAAAAACTAACTTAAAAAGAATACAGAACAACAATGTAAGACAAAAATTAAGAGTTGCAGAAAAAGACAACACATATGTTTTACATAAAGCTGGAGGAAAATGTCACATACATCATCATAGGAACTAAATACTACACTGTATATTTGTTTAATCAATTTCGCACTATATTGTTTATTTTCTAATTAACAAAWTTATAATTGTATTATGCCTTCAACTGTATATGGTGCAGGGAGCTTTATAAATTGAAGCTTATATGAGCAGCTGCCAAATCATTTCTTGAATTAAAGAACATGACAAGTCGGTTTAAAAATGTAACAAAGAGTTTAGTAAATCCCCGATTTTACCAACAAAAGTTAAGAGCCATTGAAAACTTGAAAAGAGCTGTTATAGTCAGCGGCTAAGCTACAACATAGCGAACAGCTAAACCACCAAAATGTCTTTGCKTTTCGTCAAATATCGTGAATAAGCATTAAACAGCTGTAAGAAAAAAACCCTAAACATAATCTAACAGTCGTCTACATAGCTAGAATGTAAAATTTCAGCTAATAGCCGTTAGCTAAGAAGCTTAGCTTTCGCTCAAGATCATTGAAATGAAATGGACGACGGCAACGTCAGCTAGCAGTAGTCTTTTGTCGGCTAACGATGTCAGAAAAGAGAAAAAAAATATCACCCATACTGTAATGAAATTACGCTCCATTGCCTACCTATTGCACGGTTCTTGTCTTCAAATGCAGCCTTCAATAATCAGTTAACAGGTATTTACATGRGTAGAAAAGAACGAAGAGCTTCCGATGCCGTAAGTGCACCTCTGGCTCTCCGCTACTTCCTAATGACGTGGAAGACRAACTTCTGACAGCGCCACATCATTGCTACGGTGGCCCGTTAGGCTCAATCGCGCGAGGAAAAAAACAAAACAAAAAAACAAAGCAATGCATGAAAATAAATGTCATAAAATCTGTCAAAAAGTAGCGATGTGATAAAAATATTGTAAAGTCAAAGCAAAACTAAAAAAAAAAAAACAATGAATACTGCAATACTAGTGAATCAAGTACAAAAAATAACCTTCGCTACCAATGACCTCTCCATGTTAATAAATTTAATTTCATAAATGTTTAGTGTAAAATGTCAATAATATCACTATGTAAACAATACATTCAGCAAGAAATAGATTACTTAAGTAATATACAAGTGATTCAAGTGCTGTGCAGCACCCTCTAGTGGAAACTAACTTGAATGACACCGGATGTGTGGAAAACTGAATGAGCCTGAAAATCTTCAATGGACAACCCGAGAGGTGCAAGCCGGATGATTTGCAGAATCCTCCCACTCCAAAAGTGTGTTGATCTGGGAATCAAACCCCATAGTGAGTCGCGGGGGTTACTTTGATTATTTAAGACATGAATTGTATTTATTTAAGATATTAAAGAAATTTGTAATTTCAAACTTTGTGATTTCTGGAAATTAGTTATTTTGCTTGTTGCGTTTTTAAAAGAGATTCATACATTTGCATGACTCAAGATTACAAGCTTTTAATTTCAATGAAGCAAMGATCCAAAACTGTTTTGGACACTTCACTCTGAAATAAGAGTGTTTTACATTAAAATGTGTGCAAAAATATTTTTTGCACACATAATGTAAAACACTCTTTTTTTTTTTAGTTCATTGCTTCCCTGACCTATAAGCAGAGATCAGCTGGTACAGCTAATTAAATTAAATATATTTGACCAGGCTCAGAATATAAACCCTGCGTTAAGCATGTGTGTGTGTGTGTGTGTGTGTGTGTGTGTGTGTGTGTGTGTGTGTGTGTGTGTGTGTGTGTGTGTGTGTGTGTGNGTGTGTGTGTGTGTGTGTGTGTGTGTGTGTGTGTGTGTGTGTGTGTGTTAAAATATCTGAAAAGAACGCCTGACTGAACTGTTTTATCTATTATGCTGGTGTGTGCAGATGTTCCATGAGGGTTACATCCGGGTACTCTGGGCTCCGCCCACAGGTCAGCCATGGGTTAAATAAGTTCGAGTCTGTTTAAGATGGGAGTTCCAGTGCTTTTCTGTTAAGCGAACCCCAGAGGTGTCTCTTTTCAAAAGATATAAATTAAGTATCAAAAAGGGTAACAGCAACTGAGCACGTGACTGTTTACTTCCTCATTTGGAGGATCGGTGTTCCATTGTCCAGGCGCAGGGAAAAGTAAACGATCCCAGAGCTGCAGACTGTGATGAACTGAAGAAACGACTTATTTAAACATTGGTTATATATTGTAAATAATTGCAAGAACAACTTATTTATTCTACATCTATTTTATGCAACAACAACAACAACAACAACAACAACAACAATAACAACAACAACAAAAGCTTTATTTTCATTGTACAGGGCATACAAAAAAAACTCAATTTGGCAAAAAGAAGGACAACAATAATATTGACAAGTTAATATAATAAGTTAAGCAAACTAGACAAAAATTATGGGGTTCCATTTGTGCCAAAATTATGTTGTTGAATGGAACCCAATAAAAATGTGTATAAAGCAAAAAAAAAAAAATAAAATCTTACAATATATTTCTATATGTAAATGGTTATCAAGTCTGTAAGCACAGATTGTGACTAACTACCACCCTTATTTTTTTACATATAGAAACAGACGAAATTACTCAAACTGGTCAAAATTTCCAATCATATTTGTTTACTCCAAAAGACTATGAAAAGTTAATTATGTGACTCGTGCATTCAGTTCTTTGCTTACATTGAATATGGACCTTCATTTCAGAATTACATTCATTATATCTGAAAACTATTAGAGTAAACACTTTTAAACGGCATCATTTAGCTCAGGATACATATTTGATTTCATATGGCCTTAAATTTTCTGTCTATGAAAATGTGCTTGAATTGAATATCTTTGAATTGAATAAGTTGCACTTAAACTATTCTTATATTAATAAAATTAATTAATATAGAATAAATGACCCAAACTATTTTAGAAGTGAGTTGCAATGTGTATTTAGAAGGAGTACATTGCTTGTACTGATGCAGCTCATGATCCGAGCGCTCAGGTTAATTTCTCTGCAGTTTGAGTTGTGGCCACTAGGCGGCGACGGAGAGGCCCGTTTCTGTAAAAACAACATCTCACCTTCTTTCTTTAGTCCAAGTGCTGGAGCACGTTTGAGTGACCGTAGAGTACGTTCGCTGTCATGTAGTTCAGCGTTAATACGCCGTGAATAGTTGAGSAAAGGGGGGAGTCTTTCGTGAAGTTGCGAGGCGCCGGACTCGAGCCATGGCTTCGCGGGAGGAAGGGGAGCCTTTGCACGGCAAAACAAGGCACCACGACGGAGCTGGAAGTGTAAACAGCTCAGAGGGCTTCAGGAACGGCTATGTGAAGAGCTGCGTCACCCCCCTTCAACAGGACCATCAGAGGGGGTTTTTGTTCAGCGTGTGCAGGTTTTGCAACGAGGACATTCTTAATTCAAAGCTGTTAAAGGTCTCGGCTCTCCACGTCGGCGCTTTCGTTGTTTTCGCGCTTTCTTTCCTCGTTTCCAGGAGCTTGCAAAGTGACTCGCCATGGGATCTGCGGACTTTTCTGTCGGGCTTCACCCAGTCCGTCAGCCCCCTGTTCAGCATAGGATGTGCTTTCTTCTTTCTAACCTTTTACCTGAGGAGGAAAAAGAGGCAGAGCAGCAAGTCGTGGCTCCTGTCGCTGCCAGCGTCCTGCTACCTCGGGGATTTTCTGGTCTTGCGGTTCTTGCAGTGGGGAGAGGACCAGCACCAGATGCAAATGGTGGGCAGGTTGTTATTCGTGTTGGGATGCGTGGGTCTGCTCACGCTCATCCCGACGCTGAAACTCAAGCACAGCGTTCTCGTGCTGGTTTTCGCCAGCGTCGTGTGGCTGCTCTCCCTCACCAGTTTGAGCGGGCTGCCGGCGCTGCTCAGACCGCTGTTCGCCTGCTTCGCCGGGGTGTCGGGCTCCCTGTTTGGGATCTGTTTCGACCGCTACTACCAGACGAGGGAAGCGCCGAGCGGGATGCCCAGCGCCGAGGAGAAGGTGCCTGTGATCAGACCGAGGAGACGGTCCAGCTGCGTCTCTCTGGGGGAAACATCGACCAGCTATTATGGCAGCTGTAAAATGCCCCGGAGACCCTCGTTGCCTTGCATATCTAGAGAGCAGGTAGGTGATGATCCCACCTGCAGGACCAGGTCTGTTGAAGCACCTAATCGAACTATACAGAAAAAAAAAAGTTGGTTCAAAAAGCATCAACAGATACACAAAAAAGTAAATAACCTTACAACTCCAGGTAGAAGTCAGTATTAGCAGAAAACCTTCTAAATGTAAATAAAAAATGGCAAAGTATAAAATCAAACATTAAAAAAAAGTTTATCCTGTACTAGTTTACTAGTTTACGTCAGTATTTATCAGATCTATTGACATGCCATTCTGACATGTGGGTACGCAATCAATGTAAACAAAACACTCAGCCGAATCGGCTGCAAACCAATTAGAAGCTTCAATCACGCGATTAAACTACAAGGTAAACAAAAATGGTGGAGTCAGTTGTGCGTTGAGTTGAGGAGGAGATGTTCAGGTGGAAATATAAAAGTGAATCTGCTGCAAAACATTAAAGAGAGAAGAAGAAAAAATAAATAAATAAAACTACCAGGAACTTTGCGAGGCATCTTATAATTGCATTAATAAATACCACTAAAACATAGGATGTGTGGATGTAACAAAGGTTTGATATTGTTTTTTTCTCTCACCATAATAACCCATTTCWTGTGCAATGGGTTGCTACATTATCTATATTTTTGCTATTGTATTTAATGATGCAATATGAGATCATATAGCTCTAGAAATAAAAAAAAATCAGTATCCTTTTTAAGATTTTTGATAAAACTCTAAATAAGAAAAAAAGAACTGTTAATAAAAGCCTAAAATAAATAACTAGAGGTGGATATCGTTAGCCTCACATTTCAATTCAATTTCGACACAACATCCATTTCATAATAATAAGTACACAAACAATTCATGAGAGTCCGTGTGGATAAGTTTTAGATATTTATTTTCTAGCCCATATAAACAGAAATGGCATACATGAACGTTTTTGAGAAATAAAATATCTAGGTGTGGAGCGCAAACACAAACACAGCAAGCTGGCCAGGCCATCAAATTGAACGAGGATTTTTGGAATCAGTATTGAATTGGAAGAAAATATATTGCAATTCTTTGAATCAATYTTTTTAACCACCCCTATAAACAACTACTACCTGGATGTCCAAGCAGGGAGTGAATACACACTAAAATGTTTTGTTTCAAAACAAACCACACTTGGGGAAAAAAAAAAAAACAGTCCAGAAAGTTTGCAGGACCCCGCTGCACAGAGTGTCAATGATCGGCCAGCATATAACTTTACACGAATCTCACCACAACTGTACAACAGTGTAAAAGAAAAAAAACAATCCCACTGGTGAAATGGGATCCAACAAGGCCTCACGACTACAAGGTGTGTCCAATAAAAAAAAAAAAAAATACACCAGATTAATTGGTATTGCAGTGTCAATGTGCACAATATCAATATCGCAAAGGTTTCTGCAAAAAATAAATAATAATTGCGAAATACAAATTTGTCAATCACATGGACTCCCTTCTCTACAGCTGGCAGACAGAGTATTGTGAACATTATAGTGACAGAACATGTGGGGTTATCACAACAGAAATCACTGCAATATTCAGCACCAACACTGTGATCACGTTTTTTCTAATACTGAGCATCATTCCACAAAAACAAACACCTGTAAATCACAACAATCACGATTTTCATTCTCAACACTGAACGAGGTTAACCTGCTTGCGACACYTGCGTCA